GTGACGCCCCTGCAGCCCTGGCCTGGCCCCAGCGCCTCTGCTCCGTCGCGCGTGCGCCGGAAGAAAAACAAACTGGCTGGCCTCCCGGAAGGAGATTGGGGCTGGCGATGCCAACCTCACTCCAACCCGGGTCACGGCGTGAGGCTGATTCTCGGAGGGTCTCCCGTCAAAGCTTCCAGATGTTTCATCCCTGCTGATACATTTTCCCAAAGAAAAGTCCAGGTCTGTAAATTTTAGGAGACAAAGTTTCCAAGTGACTAAAAGAGTAGGGTTGTCATCATGACACTTTAGAGAAATACTATTTCCTAGTAGTTCTCAGGCTGATTTTATCCGACTCTTACTTCAGGATGGGGACTAGCCAGGCGCATCTGTAAAGCTAGTCTTTGCCCCCTCATTTATAATTACATGAGCACAGTGAGTCTTCATTCTGAAAGGGGTCTCCAGGTGCTGAAGGGCTCTGCAGAACACGAAGCCTTGACGTTGTTTTTCCACCACATTTTAACGCAGGAGCCAAGGATATTTTGATGTTAACTAAAAATGAATGGTCTCATCAGAGGTTTGTGGGGCTTGGGTATACTATTAATCCCAACGGCAAGAATAAGACCACGGCCACAATTTGAGCCAAATTTGAAGCAAGCTTGAGTTTTACTGAGGTGTATTTTAGAGCTGACCAGCAACTGCCTCCTAAGTAAGACAGTGGGTTAAAGAGAGCAGTCCTGAATCCATTTGTTGGGCCCCCCTTTAAGGAGTAAAATCACAAGTAGTTGCAAAGCAGGTTTACAGAGGAAAGACAGACAATAGGAAATAGGAGGGTGGGGGGTGGGGGGGGGAACTTCATGTGGTCATGTTTTAATTAGAGAAGCCTCTGGGGGCGGGGGTCAGAGAGGATAAGGGTTTCGCAAAAGTCAAGGCTATAGGTTAGGGAAGGTCACATTCCAGTAAACAGAGAGCAACTCAGCTCTTAGAGTAAATTGAACTTATTTTTAACAATAGAGCATAATGGCTCCTGCCTTCAAAATGGAGTCAGGCAGGTTCCTCAATGCTTACTTGTTTTACAGGAGCTTAACAACCCTAAACAAATACATCAACTGTATCATAGCCTCTATTTTTAGATATTTAGTGACAGTTTCACTTACCTATCACAGCATAATTTACTGTATGTTATATCAAAGATGTTTTTAAAAGTACAATTTTAGGATCGAATTTAATAAAGTTAGAAATTACAGTGCCACACAGAAGGGAATAGATGGTCGAATCTGTGTAATATGGATACTTAAACCCTAATTCCAAACCAAGAAATTTAGGATTTACAATCTTTGACTACTTACATCGAGTCTTTTAGACAATTCCTTAAGCTTGTACTAATTTAATGAATATGATCTTTACTTTTATCTTGGAAAGTTTATCAGTATTTTTCCAGAAACCAGTGTTATAATAAGTCTCGGGGTGGGACCATGTTGGATCCCATGGCGGATGAGGGACAAACATGCCAGGCAGACAGAGCTTAAGTGGGAAGTTTTATTGGGGCAAAGAAAAAGAGTGGAGAAAGGGAAGGTGGGGGGAAAAGAAACAGAGAGGGTGAAAGAGAGAGAAAGAGAGAGAGAGAGAGAGAGAGAGAGAGAGGGAGGGAGGGAGGGAGGGAGAGTCCTGTTTGCCCCTCAGAGGAACAACACGGGAGAGAAAGAGAGCAGAAGTGGGTGGAATTTGCCTCTTAAAGGGACCTTTGCACCTGTGTGCAGACTGTGTAGTGATGTAGCAGCCACAGGACCCTGGACTGGCCAGGGTACTGCCTGAGTGAATTCTGCCAGGAGACAGGGGGCAGGCTAGCATAATGCTTGAATCTTAACAACCAGCTTCAGAACAAGCATTTCTCTCTTTGATTTGATAAAACATGTTGTCTGGACATGGTGGTGCATCTGAAACCCCAGAACTCAGGAGGCAGAGGCAGGAGGATCTAAAGTTTGAAGACAGCCTGGGCTATAGAGCAATACCTGTCTCCAAACAAAACTTAAGGCTACAACAAACAAATAAAATCTGGACTGAACTTCTGCACTAGGTTTCAACAGACCAAACCAAAATGGAATTGCTTGTGCTATGTGTTGTGTAAACAAAGTGAATTAAAATTTTTATGTGTATGCGTGCTGGAATCCAGTTCCAGTGGACTTCAGGTCCCAAAGAGCAGGTGTGGGTTTCGAAAGGTGAAGGAGGAGACTGACAAGATCTGAGTGTGAATTGGGTTGGCTGCCACTCTTTGAAAGAAAGGCTACACATTTTATACTCCACAGCTGCACCTAGGA